ATAAATATGAAATGAGATCAAGTGAAATTGCATTTCACGTCATTAAATATGCTTAGTTGGCTTACCATGTCAGGCCCCACGTCATTAAATATACTTAGTTGGCTTACCTGACAATTTCTGCTTACAAAACTATTTGATTGATTGTCTCAGCCAAAAATAGAATCTCCAATTTCCTTATAATTTGAAGAAGATGAAGAATGCAAGACGAATTACTGATAATCTGTATCTTGCCGATGATATTCTTGAGAGTATTTTTCAAGTTAAAACTCTGCTGCGATTGAAGTGCTTATGTAAGCGCTACTGCACTCTGATTTCAACCTCGCTCCTGGTTTATCTCAAGACGTTTAATTCAGAACCTGATAACCATTGTATCCTTGTTCAGACTGGGCAGAAAAAAATTGTTTGATCCGTATACGAAATCATGGCTACTTGATAAAGCTTAATGAACCCTGTACGTCAGCTGGGTTCAATCAATGGCTTGGTCTGTTAGTTACTACTACTAGTTCCCGTAAATTGATTTGCCCCTTCCATAAATCAATTCAAGATGTTCCCTCCTATGAACCGTCAAATGACACACTATATTGATGTTAGTATGGGTTTTGGATATGAAAAAGATTCTTAATTTACGAAGTCATGAGCTATAAAACAAGTTGGCCATCGACTATACTTCAGGTTTACTCAACCAAATTGGAATCATGGAACGTTGATTTTCACTTAAAAATGAGTACCTGCCGCTGTGATGTAATTGTTGAAGGGTTTACTTACTGGGTTGCCAAAGTAAACTTTTATTCCATAGTTATGCTTCCGCTCAATCATTATAATTCTTTTACATGTTTATATTTAGTTGCTCATGACTTTACCAGTATCAACAGTTTGCTTGGGGTCACTTATAACTCTAAGCACCGTGCTACGACTAGGGGTAGTCTCTGGTCGTAACAATAATTTTTTTTTTTACTGTAATTACTCATGTAATTAGTTTCAGGTCTCTTGTAATGGAACTAACTTTATGTACCTATAAACTATATACTACTTCTTATTTTTGGATCCGCCATTGATTATCCCTATGCATATTCTATTATAAAAGTTAGCTAAATTTCATAAAATTTTTTGGTGCTAAAATGGATTTCCCATTTTTTTAAGGTGTTTGGTATCTGCATTGGAGCCTAACTAATTCTTTGCCTCAGGTAGAGGGGCGATTCCGGGGGGGGGGGGAGTGGGTAACTCTCCATTCTCCAACCAAAGATTTTTCTATATCGAGTTGGAATGCCTTAAACGGATGTGTGGTAACAGGTAAAGCCCGAAGGTTGTATCCATCCTTGTAGGGGGAGATATCTCTCTTTTATACAAGCACAATTCTTAGGTTAAGGGATGGTCAATTAATTATTTTGTGCTAATTAATGGCTGGCACATAATTAAGTTTTAATTACTTTAATTAATGGAAGCTACATAATTATGCTTTTAATTGGTTCATTTGGATACAATATTAAATCTATGACTTATATATCACCTCCTGAATGTAACTTGTAACTTCATCAAATGATATTTCCGCATTAAAAAGTGACTAAAGAAATTACTTGTCTAGACAACCAACCAAGCAATATCTGAATTACAGTATTATGTGTCTTTATAGAGTTTCAAACATCTCACAGAAAACATTGTGACGAACTGGTCGTAAGGAAATAATTGCACGTGTTGGAAAAGCTAACAAATTCTTCTTCAAATTTGAGGTATTAGTAGAACAACTATTGCATTCCTTATGCTCTGGCACTATAACCAGTTTCTCCAGATTTATTGCATGCTCAAGTAAGAACTTCAAGAATTGATCAAGCTTTGTTACGTCAGATGTAACCATACCACCACATAATGGCATAACCTTGACATTCTTCAAATTATGTAAGGAAACTTTGAATATGTTTTCTTCAAAGGAGAGGTACTTCTTGTCTTCCAACAAATCAATGTCTTTGTCTTCATACTATAGATACCAATGAAGGACAAATCATGTTAGTCGTTGAGGCTGTCGGGGATCAATATACATTTGACATAAATAAATGAATAGAAAACATACCATCATATCAGGAAATATCATCAAATTTTTCAACGTAGGAGTTGATTTTATGAGGTTATCTAGTAGGGGGAACGAAAGTTTTGAATATAAGAACTTATTGTCAACCATCTGCATTCCAGCAACGGTAAGGAAATGTCTTCTTCTTCCAACATCAAATTGGAAATCACCTCAACAGAAGAATGAGGCAGAATATAAAACAGGAGCTCTATTCACAATCAACATAAAAAGACAGTACACATTTGGGACTGATAACTGACCTTGATCAACCAGGATGACAGTATTAGCTCATTAGCACAACAAACGCTTACCAAAACATCTTTCACTGTATTTTCATCATAGTAGAGATCAAGATTGGCATGGTACAAAGATGGAAAGTCCCTCAGCTTAATTCTTGTAACATCAAAACCCCCAGAAATCGTTAAATGTTCAACATATGGAGTAACAATTTCAAAGCAACATGTATCACCTACGAATGACTACAAATCCCCGCCAAGATGACCGTGATGGATCAATTCTAGTCGCCTACATTTTGGAGAAGTCATGTGCAAACGATTAAAACCACAAAATTCATGTAGCTTCAAAGATTCCAATTGAGGACAATTTGACATTATTTGTTTAATGTGTTCATCCCGGAGAAAAAAATCTTCCAACGTTAAACTCTTCAGAAATGTCCAATTTAGTACACAATCTTCTAATATTCTACAATTCTCGCAGTTGAGTTTTAGAATCGATGAACTACTACAGAGAACTTCTGGTAAGCTATAAGGTTGGTCATGCTCTGTCGGATCAACTGTATACCGTATATTCATGCCTAAATCCTCCACTTTCTTATTCACAGCAAATTCAAGCCACTTGTCAATTTTGGGAAAGTAAGACAGACCATCATCATATCTGAACACAAAGTTTAGACTCAACTTTTTAATGCTAGAGAAGCTAAGGAGAGGTAGTATATTATCCGTTAAGGAAATGAATTTGTGCACTGTCGAGTTATCTGAACGACCATACTCCTCTTCATAAACAATGTTGTCTACACAAGTCCAGAAGTATTGCCAATGTTTAGAGAGAATAGTTGTTCTGAACACATCTGTTATGGACAATAGAGATAGAATTTGAACAATAAGAGCGTCAGGTAGTTGACTGATCCTATCAATTTCTTCACATTCTATCTCAATCTTTGCTTTTTCATGAGGTGAGTTTTCAAATAAGCAGACTTTCAGAGTTGCCAGAGAATTGGTCTTGGTTGCTCATGTTGTTCAAATTGTATTACTATTGCTATTTGAAATCACCGTGCTAGCGAACCACTCAACCGTAGATATATTGTTGAAAAATAAGAGGTGTGACCTTGGAAATGTCAAAATCGTTTGAAATAGGCACAACCTTTCGGAAAAGTTGCAATTCTTAAAAAAAATCACAACTCTTAATAAAAGCTACTTCTCTTTTGTTGAAAAACAACACAAGGCTAAGAAGGGAGGGGGGGGGGGTATTGAGAATAAGTTTACTTGTAATTATAATTTCTATAGACAATTTCTGTTTCTTGTTTTGTTTATTCTTTCTTTAATGTCCAACTAACAAATTTATATCACATGACACTATTTTTTTTTAATGTGATAATATATGATATTTTTAAATATATTTTTGTTTTAAAAAAAGGGGGTTGGGAAAGGGAAAAATGAAGGAGGAGATTACAATTAAGGTGAGGAATCAAACGATCTCATCAGTGAAGTGAAAATTTAGTAGTCAATGCTACTAAGATTATCTCATGTAAAAGTATATGATTACAATTTGCAGTGGTTTTAAACCATATTCAAACCATAAAAAAGAGCAATAAGGTATTTTATGTAAACATAATTATTCATCAAAATCTAAACACAAAACTTAAGAAATGAAAGGATAAAGGATACATACACAAGGTAGCTAGACTTTGGTTGCCATTCCAAAATCTTGATTTTTTTTTTTGTTGTATTTATATTTTCATGAAAGGGTAATGCCACAGTACTTATATAGTGGCCATGGAGTTGACCATTTAATTTTTTTCTATTTTTGATCAGACTTTTATGTCATTAATGGTTATTAGTTGATTATTTATCCTAAATAGGTTGTTGATGTTATGCTAAAATCATTGACGTAATAATTTACTTCTTAAATATTTGAAAAAGATATACACCCTCGTTTTCATTTTGTCACACCTACTTTCCTTTTAAATCCATTTAAAAAATAATTATTATTTTTCTTTTTATATATTTGAAAACTAGATATGTCAGATACATGCATCTGATGACCAAAATTTGGCACGATGATAATTTTGAAAACTCATAAAATGCATGTATTAGGCCCTAAACAAATAAAATTTGTTTTGTTTACCCTATTAAATTCAATAATGTTGAAAGTAAAATTCATGGGATAATTAACATTTAATAAATTTGACCAATAAAATACAGTAGAAAAATACATTCAACCTTTTCCTTTTTTGAAGTGGTCAAAAAAAGTTATAAAGTGAATATATAAGTGACATGTGTCACTACTAAACAGTTACCTCTTGTGTTAGGCTATTCCTAGAACAACCATGTATTACTTTGTTATTTTACTAAACCCATGGAAATGAAATATCTCTTCACATTTTTTCCACCTTCCCACCTAGAAATTTTCTCCTTTATAAGCTCCCAAATGGCCTAATGGTTTCTCTGCACTGAAACTTTCATTGAGTTTTTCTTTTTCCATTTTATAATTTTTTAGTTTGAAATTCAATAGCTTTCTCGGTTTTTAGATTTTGCTAACATGGAGAAAGCTGAAGAAAACATAGGAACTTCAAATGTAGAGAATGAAAATGTGAGAACTGAATTTAGGGCTTTCATTGAATGGTAATTTTGATGTTTAGTCAAAAAAATGAATCGTTTTTTGTGAATAACTAATGAAAAATATTCTTTGATGTTTTCAGGTGGATCGCAAGGAAGTGTTGCTTCAAGTGTAGCTGAGGTTGAAACCCAACAACCACCTACTCAAGGTATCAAAATTTTGTGAATTGATTTATATAGCAAGTCAATTTATATTTGTATCAAAATTAAAATAGGAATTTTTTTTTCCATTAGTTCTCGATGTGAAATCATCTTTCGTTGAACAAAAATCACCTGTATATTCAGGAAATTATATTGCTAAAGGAAAGATAAAAAACTTCATGCTCAACCATATGACTTTTGTTTCCACAAGAGGTAAAGGACCAAATGGAAAGAAGACTGAAGGACTGTTATACCCATGTAACAAGAAAGATGAAGTGGAGATAGTTTGTCTTTGTCATGGTGATCTTCTAAATGCAGTTGAATTTGTCAAACACACTGGTGGAGGTTATGTAGAACACCCTTTAAACCATATATTTATTGATGGAGAATAGATTAAGTAGCATTGTTACTGATGTTATTTGATATTTTCTTTTGTTTTTGTACGAATAAATTCAATGGCTATTTCCCAAAAAGGCATTAGCTTTTGTATCGTTGTTATTTCATCGTTCCTTTTTTTGTTGTACCAACTAAAGTTCCTCGCGTAAATGTTATATTAAGGTTATTTTCCAATGATTTGGCTTATTTTTTTCTATGTGATGCTTATTTTTTAAGCTTAATTAATTAGAAGGAAGTGATAGTTTCTATTCTACATAAATATTGACCCCTTATTCTTTTTCTTTTTTTAAAAAATCAATCTCAAGCCACTAAACTAAATTAACCTATTTTTAAAACATTACGCTTGTTCCTCAACACGAGAGAGAGGAAAAGAGAGTTACATGCGAGTGAATATCACCGGGCTAATATCATCTATCTTAACTCGTCTAAATGTTGTAAAATAGGTTATTTTTTAATTATTTCTGTTCGATTATGTGTAGTTTTGTTCCTCTCTTGTAAGATTTTTAAATATTAATATGTTTATTAGGGTTTGGGGTTTAGCTTTTTATAGGATTTCTATGTTATTTTTCCACTAAAAATTTTCATTGCTTGCTAAATATAAGTTGTTTTCTTTAAGTGTTAGGATTTGCTATCAATTGCTAGTTTTCAAAGTTTATTTCCCGAGTTAGAATTTCTATTTCTTGCTAAATCTGACAATTATATGTTAATATATGAGTTATGCCTCTTTGATTATGTGTATTTTTGTTCTTCTTATAAGAATTGCAGTATTTATGTGCTAATTAAAATTTGGGGGGATGGCTTTTTAAAGGTTTTTTAGTTATTTTTTGACTTAGAATTTTTTTTGTAGATAAATCTTGAAATCACTTGTTAAAATACCTTATATTTAGTTGTTTTATTATGTGTTAGGTTTGGTGTTAACTATTTTAGATTTTTTTGAGTTTATTCATAGAAATTAGAATTTTCATTTCTTGCTAAATCTAACAATTATGTGTTAATACATATGTTATTAATTGCATATTGTATTGCGTTGTTTATATATATATATATATCTTTTCCCATATGTGACTGATTTTTATGGGTTTTTGAGTCCTAATAAATTTATATTTTAGGGTATTAGGATAGAATTTTTCATTTTAGGGTATAAGGATAGAATTTTACGTAGGCAATTTAGGGCACGGATGAACTGACTGAGAGTATTAGATTAATATTTTTATTGCGACGTAGATTTCATTACTTGATTCCTTATTTAAAAGCTGAAATGTATTTCCTTTGAATATTTTTCAAAATGTGATCCAAATTTTATATTCTTCTGCCTTAAAAAAAGTAGAAATGAGAGACCTGTAAGTGAATCGGCTAATCAAGTTTTCATTTTATTCTTTTATAAAGTCAATAGAATATATTATACATTTATTTTTATTTGATTTCCTCTGTTAAATAAATTTAACAAATATATCTTAATTCTAGGATCTTTCACAAATGTGTGATCTCACATTTAATTACCACTATGATTAATTTTCTTTTATTTTTTGACTAGTAAAATTATCCGCGCCTCGCGCGGGAGTTCAATTTGAAGGAATTTATAAAATAATACTTAAAACCTTCAGTCATTAAAACTAAAATATTATATTATCTTACACACAAGATTACATAGTAATGGACATTAATAATGTAAAGAAAAATGATAATTACAACATATTTGATTTTATAATTTATCCTTTTGCTTCCATGAAGTGTTACTATTTGATATTTTTGGGGAATCAAATGTACATAAACCTAAAATATTAAATTTTCTAATAAATAAATAATCATTAGTGAAGGGATAAATAAATTTTAAAGGGTTGAAAAAAGTGAACAAATATTCTAATTCTAATGTGTAGAAAGTTCAGCCCTACCTTTTGTTTGTACATATATCATTTTAAATTTTTTCATTTAAATATATCATATGTAATTATTAAAATGGAAAACTAAAGGGAGAATGTATCATATTGGACAATAATTCAACTTATCATATATACTTGAAAGAGAAAAATATTACACAAAACTATTCAGCTTGTTTGGGTGTTTTTTAAAATCAACATACAGAGTGATGGAGTTCAATTTGAAACTACACTTCTATTCAAATCGCAGTGTCGAGAAACACATTTATTACTTCAAGAAAAGTATTTACAATTTGCAGTAAATTTGAGAATTTGTCCATATTTCATATTGAATATGCGCAATTGATTTATTGTGTAGTTATCTATGTCTTTGGGATTAGAAGAGGCTCAAGTCTAGTCATATATTCCTTTATAGGTCATCCAGCGCATAATTGAACTCATGTCAAAAGTTTATTAATTTTCTTCTTCTTTTCTTGGTTCACTTTGCACATCAAGGTGCGATAAAGTTTTTAAGGTATTTATCTCCTTACAATGGTATACCAAATTTGAAATTTGTCTTCAAAAGATGGTAGTATAGATCTTTAAGGAATTATTTTATTATACCTTTAACAATTTCAGTAGACAAAACTTGCATGAATACTCAATTATTGTGTGTTATTTAATCTGTACTAACAAATACTTATGACAATAACTTTGTAGAAACATAAACAACAAAGTTTAAAACATGTACTCAAAAGCAAAAAATAATATCATAAGCATAAATTAATGACTATAAAAAAACATATCAGGATCAGTAACAATAGAATGAAACAGAAAGGAAAAAATCGAGCCCACTGAATGTACATTGTCCTCTTAAGGAAATTATTTTCCTCTAGTACTCGAGGTTTAAAAGAATAGATCCTCTCAGGATGGAACGATTTTATTCACCAGTTGATACAAAAAACAATGGTGCCAGTGAGCCACTCAACATGAGCAAAGTACACGACTATTTAATTGTGCAAAAGAAGATGAAGAAGAAGGAATTCAAAATTTTCGTTGTTTTAAAATTTAAAATGAGAGTAAATCCTTTATTTATAGACAGCAAAGGGTAGTGTGAACAAATGCTTATTGTGTCTTATCGGAAAAGTGACAACTCTTTGGAAAAGTTACAACCCTTCAAAAAGTTCACATGATAAAAGTCGCAACTCTTCATAAAAGTCACAACTCTTCATAAAAGTCACAATTTTTCATAAAAGTCACAACTTTTCATGAAAGAGGAAGACTAGTTTTGGAAATAAATAAATTAAAATGGAATCTAGGTTTGTGGTGGCGCCACATAGTTGGAAATATATAAATTAAAAGAGAATCCTAATTTGTGGTGGCGCCACGTAGGTGAGCCTAGGGTTCTCTTATATATATATATATATAATATTAGAAGAGATACTCCCTTGTTTCAATTTATATTATTACATTAGTTGCTTGTACACGTGACAACCAGGTTTTGGGGATATTTTAAAATGACTAAGTTTTTTTCGCGCTTATTGTCATGGCCCGAGCCTACACCTTGGACGTGACCGACTCTCGAGAACCATATTTGCTGGTCCCCAAGCAAACCCTCATCCCGATTGACTACAAGCGGAAGACTAACTCAAGCATACATAAGCATTAAATTGAAAAAAAACATTTAAAAACTGTTTACTGAATGTCAAAACTGAACTGGATATACTAAGTATGAAACATAAGTTTTAAGTAAAATATCTAAAACTGAAAGACTCTCCAAAACTGTCTATCTCTGAAGTCTCTATTGTAAACAAGGATGAGTGTCAGGACAAGACCCGCGAATCCTCAAGAAAACTACTAGTAACAACTCATAAAAACTGGAGTCCTCCAGAAGCAAGGAGGTCTTACTCAAAAGCTGACTAAATGATCTCAAGGAATTTTGATGAGTATCCTAAGAAGTTGTATCTACATCATTAAAAGATGCAGGTCGAATGATATCAGTACATCGAATGTACGAGTATGTGATATAGCTGAATAACAAATAACTGAATGAAAGGACTACAGTAGATATAGATATTGTCACGACCCATGAGTACCCCCTAGACGTAACACGACATACTTGACCCCGAAGGGGTTTCATACAAGCCTCTAGCATCATCATACATAAGACATAGAAATAATGCGGAAAATTTAAAACTTTTACAATCGAAGTCCAACTTCATTTTTCATAAAGGAAAATCATAGGAATCTAGACTTTGTCTCATTTAACGTTTGGGACTTAGCCCTTTACATCAATAAAAGTCTCAATATAAGAAGTGCAATAGGAACTAAGAAATGACTAATCCATCCTCGAACTTGAGGACTCACCACAACTTGGAGAAAAGCAATCCAAGTCTTCTTCAAGAAAGAGAGTGTACGTCACCTAGCCGGAACCTACACTTACAAAAATGTTGGAGAAAGGGGTTAGCACATAAAGTACTAAGTATGGAACCATGCATAAAATCCTTGAAATATGATAAAAATGACATTTTATTTGAAAAGTATGCATTTGTGAAGTTAAGAAACCAACATGCATCTTCAATGTCAAATACAAGCCAAAAATCACATTTATGCTCATTACCTAGTAAAGCCATTACCTTAGCAACCCCTAAAGAACACTTGAGCAATGTATGGTTGGCATCCCATAATACCAACAATACTAAGTACTCCTTTGAAGCTACCTTAGTCATACATATCATATTTAGACCTCATCATAATCAATAGTCATATGTAAGGAACTAGTCATATACATTACTTGAACATAAGGAAAGTCATTCATATCAACTATCCATTCAACATACATGCCTACATTCATATCTCATTGTATCATAAAGGAACCATCCCATAAAATCCTACTAAGTCTACTTGTGCAATGTAAAAGTGAAGTCCCATACCCCCACTCCTACTAAGTAAACTCACCAAGAAGTGATAGTTTAGTTCATGTCTCATTCATTATCTTATCATATAGGGAAGAATAGCCATAACCGACATAGACCATGTGAGCTACATGGAATCTGGTGTTGTATAACTTCACACCGAAAGAAAGTGTCCTACTTGCCTAAGGTAGAACTAACATATTTAAGCCTTTAAGGTGGATCCAC